GGGCCAGGTGGGTGGGCAGGGCCGAGGGCCCTACCCACAGTCTAACTCGGGAAGCTCCCCAGGGCACAGTGCTGCCGGGGGCAGCCCCAGCCCACCCTGGGCCTCGTGGCGCCTCTGTGAGGAGGACAGGAAACTGCCTCTACCCACCCAGCATCCAGGCTCGCCCTAACCCTAACCCTAACCCCCTACGTAAACCCTAACCCTAAACCTTTGCAAGTGGGGAGGTTGTTGCCGCCATCCCAGCCAGATGGGGGCTGTGGGTGGGGAGAGGAGAGGCCTCTCGGCCTGGGCTGGCCATTTGGAGACCTGTCCTGAGGTGGAGGCTGGGCAGGAGGAGGCAGCGGTCCCTGCAAAGGGAGGAGGCCCAGGTGCCCGAGGGGAGGGGGCCTGCGGGAGGCGGGGCCTGAGAGCAGGGTGGGGGCCTGGCTGAGGGGAGGGGGTACAGGCGACGCCCTACCACTCTGGGGACAAGGCAGTGACCCGCCGCCCTCCTGCCCAGCTCAGCTGCTTGGCCAACCTGGCGGCGCGGCACGGCCTTCAGGAGGACTTCGCGCTCCACCCGCCGGACCTGCTGCTCTTCTACAAGTGAGCGCCGCCCCCACCCCACCCCGCCGCAGAGTCCTGGGGGTCCCTGTGTCCTAGGGCCACCGCAGGCCACCCTGAGACCACGGGCAGGGCAGGTGGGAGGCGCAGCCCCGCCCCACCCCGACGGCCTCCCCCCACCTGCAGCCTGTCCCAGGTGAGGGACGCCGACTGCCGCGCCTTCACCGGCCGCGCCGCCCAGGGGCGCCTGGAGCTGCTGGCCAACCTGCCGGACCAGAGAGCGGCCCTGCGCCGCGCAGCCCTGGCCTGCCTGGTGGGCGCCCCAGCCGGCGGGTAGGAGGAGCCGGGCGGGTCGGCCTCCTGCGGGGCGCTGACCGCCGTCCCTGCAGGGGTGGCCCCGCCCGCGGCTCAGAGCCCCGGACCTGCTGCTGCTCGGGGCGCTGGTGTGTGACATGGACCCGTCCCGCGTCGTCACCGCCGACCCGCGCGTGCTGGAGAACCTGCGGCGCTGCCCGGGGCTGACGGCCGCGCAGGAGGCCGCCCTGAACGCGCTGCTGGCCGGTGGGAGGACCCAGCTCGGGTGGGTGGGGCCGTAGGGCTGGGGTGGGCGGGGCCAGCTGAACTCTGACCTCAGCCCCCAGGCTCACTCGGGCCCCACAGCCTGTGAGGCAGGGGCTGGACGGTGCTGCCCTGCCACCGGGTCTGGCCCTGCTTGGCAAGGGCTTGGTGTCCCCGGTGGGGGCCTGGTCAGCTGACTACAGTCAAGGGTGGGTGGGTCTGAGCACCAGCTGGGCGCAGGGAGGGGCCAGCGGCGTCCAGGGCCCCACACAGTGGCCCCTTTCTGTGCACCAGGCCCCCTGGCTCCTGGACCCTGGAGGGGCTGCAGGCCCTGGGGCCCCTGGCCACCTACATCAGCCCCCGCCTGTGGGTGCAGGTGCAGGAGGTAGGACGGGCCCCAGGGATGGGGGTGGCCATCCGGGCCCCAGGGTCTGCCTCGGTGGGCCCTGCACGGTAGCCGCCGCAGGGTTTCTGTCGGTGGGCTGGGAGGGGGACCAGGCGGCTGGAGGGACGGCCACACCCGCCCCGCCCCTGCCAGGGCACGGGCCTGGACTTCTTCCGCAGCATGGTGGCCGCCTACCGCGAGGGGCGGCTCGGCCGGCAGGACACCGGGCGCTTTGTCACCAGCTTCCTGGAGTCCCAGGCCAGCACCTCGTCCTCAAGGCCCAAGCGGGGCGCAGGTCAGTGTGGCCCCGACACCCGGGGTCGCCGCGCCTCCCAGGGCTCGGTGGGCAAGAGAGCCGCGGTTTGGGCCAAGTTCTTGGTGAGAGGTCGAGCTGGGGGAGAAGGAGGTCAAGATCAAGGTCAGAAGTGGAGAAGGGGCCAAAGGTGGGCCCTCAGGACTGACAGCCGCGGTGGTCAGCTCAAGCCGAGGCCAACCATCTGGTCGTCCTGGCGCCCACAGGGAGGTCCTGCGTCCGCGGCAACATCACGGCGGCCACGCTGCGGGACGACCTCTTCCTGGTGCGCTACGACTGTGCCCAGCTCCGGCTCTGCCTGGGCAGCCGAGTGCTGGCGACCAGCCTGGACCCCCTGCTGCAGCAGCCGCTGCCCACCGAGTGCCAGCGTGTCGTCAAGGCCAAGCTCGCACAGGTGGGCGGCGGGCGGCAGGGAGGAGGCTGGCGGGGCTCGGCAAGGCACTGACTCGCCCGCCCGCCCCAGCTCTACCCGCGGGGCCTCCCCGAGGACCAGCTGCGGCTCATCACCTCCCTGGTCTACCTCTACTCGCGAGCCGAGATCGGCCAGTGGAACATCACGTCCAGGGACACGCTCGTGGCCCTGCTGGCCTCAGGCGTGGCCCTGGACAACCAGACAGAGGTGAGGGTGGTGGGGGCGGGTGGCCCTGAGCCCTGGCCCCCGGTCCCAGCCCCGATGACCCGTGCCGGGCCCCCAGGCCGTGCTGCAGAAGTTCCTGGACCACAACGGGACGGTCACCGGCGGCCTGCTGGTGGCCATCGGGGGCTCCCGCCTCTGCTGGATGAGTCCCCAGCAGATCCAGACCATCCGGCCCTCGGAGTTCCGGTGAGACCCCTCGGCAACCATGGGGCAGCCTCAGGGGCGGCTCACTGCTCAGCCAAGGAGAATCACAGGGGAAACCGAGGCTCGGGAGGGAGGTCCCCTAGTGTCCTGGGCTGCCCAGCGAATCCATAGATGGATGATTTAGACAGGAGGGGTGGGTTCTCACGCCGTGGAGGCCCTGAGTCCACATCGAGGTGCTGGCAGGGCCCTGCGCCCCCGAATCCTGCAGGGAGGCCCCTCCCATCCCGTCACCAACAAGCTTCGGCGCTTCGTGGCTTGTGGACGCAGCTGCTCTGTCTCCGCCCCACACAGCCCTCTTCTCCCCGGTCTGTGTCCACGTGTCCCCGTTCTTTTAAGGATGTGTCCTTGGGGTTAGGCCACCGATCCCCTCTGACCTCATCTTGCAATCTGATCTCACCCGCAAAGACCCTATTTCCAAGCCAGGTCGCCCTCAGAGGTCTGGGCAGATGTGAACTTTGGGGTCCCCGTTCAGCCCAGTGAGCAGGGCTCCAGGGAGGGGCCACGCCCAGCCGTCAGAAGGGCGAGGGGCTCCCACCCTGCTCATCAGCCGCACGCCCACCCCAGGCTGGCCGGAGCCCTGGACGTCTCGTCCTGCCCCCAGAGCCGGAAGGACGTGCTCTACGCCAAGGCCCGGGAGGCCTTCAGCGGCACCAGGACCGTGGCCTCCTACTACCGCTTCATGCGTCCCTACCTGGGTGAGACCCTGCCCCCTGCCCCACCCCCACCCCTCCCCAGGGACCCTGCCCCCCCACTCACCGCTGCGCCCCCAGGTGGCGCCCCCGTGGAGGAGCTGCGGCACCTGGCCCAGGCCAATGTCTCCATGGACATCGACACCTTCACCAACCTGAACCCCCAGGTGCTGCAGGTGGGCACGGCTGCCCCGGCTGCCCAAGCGAGGGAGGTGGAGCTGGTGGGCCTGGGGCGCCCCTGGGGGGTCACAAATCCAGCACCCCCAGGTCCCAGGACTGCAGGGCACGTGGCCTTGGGTCAAGCAGGTCTCCCCTGGGGGACAGCCCTGCGCAGCCCTCTGTCCCTCCCCTCACGGCCCCCATGGCCCTGCAGAGCCTGAGCGTGGGCAACGTGACCACGCTGCTGGGGCCCAACGCGGGGGACCTGTGGAAGGCCCGCAGCCACCCGGCCGTCAGCTCCTGGCTCCGCGGCCTCGACAGCTCAGCCCTGGGCTCCCTCGGCCTGGACCCCGAGCCCGCCAGCCCCGCCCCCACAACCGGGGTGACCCCTGACACCAGCCCGCCGGCGTCCCGCCCGGTCCACACCTTGGGCCTGCCTGGGAAGGACCCTGAGGCTCCCACATCAGGTACGGCCCTGGCCCCACCCCTGCCAGGCCCTCTGCGGACCCCCTACTGTCCCCCGCTGTCCCCAGCTCCTTTCTCCTGCCCACCCCCATGCACTGTCCTGTCCGCCTGGGCAATGCCCCCCACTTCTTTCCCCGAGGAATTATTTAGGGACAGGGTTGACTGAGCAGCAAAGGGGGGGGAGGTTTGCAACCCTGCTGGGGCCAGAAGAGCAGCCTGGGGCGGGTTCTGCGCCGGCCAACCCAGTGCCTCCCGGGACTGGCTGTGGCAGGACTGACTCGGCCCCTCCGTGTCCCCGCAGGCAGCTCACATGGCCCCCTGGGGTGTTTGCCGCTGGCCATGGCCCTGCCCTCCGGCCTCCTGTGGCTGCTTCGACACAGCACCCTGGGGCCCGGCCGCACCTGCTCGAGGGCCCGCACCCCGGCTCCCTGGACAGTCGAGCCCCGGGGCCGGCAGGTCCACAGGCATCACGTGCGGCAAACACGGGGCCGCTAGCGGGGGCTGCCGTGGCTCAGGCCGAGGCGCGGCTCTGGGCCCAGAGGACCTGCCTGTGCCTGGCACCCTCGGGGGCTGCGGGGCCAGTCCCCACCCCCGCCTCTGGGACCTGGAGGGGACTGGGGACAGGGAGCCAGGAGGAGCCGGGAGCCTCTGGCCACCAGCCCAGGCCCCGCAAACTCCTTCAGAAGAACGGGGCCGGGCAAGGGCGTGGGTGCCGCTGGCTTCACTGATAAGAATAAAGTGCACGGTGACCTTCCCTCCTGCGTCTGTGCTCTGCGCCGGGTGGGGCCCAGAGGCTGCTTTGACCGGGGCTCGGCCTGCGCAGGGCCCGGCTGGGGGGCTCGGGAGCAGGACCCCCACCCTCCGCCCCTGCGGACAATGTCAATAGCATCAGGACGGCCTCAAAGGGCTCCACGCTGCCTGGGCCACCCAGGGGCCCTGTTCTCCAGGACAGGCGGGAGGGGCTGACTCAGACGGCCACGTGCTTGGGGTCACAGGAAGCCCACGGCCCCACCCACCACTTGGTCTTGGAAGGCCACGGAGCAAGTTTGCAGTGGGCACAGCCCGTTTATTGAGTTGAAGGCCTCTCGGCTGGACAGGAGCCCCCCAGGCCTGCTCCCGGCCGGGTGGGGGGAGCTCCGAGGCGGGACTGGGGCTGGGGGCATCGTGCAGCGGCCTCAGTGCGGGGCCAGAGCCAGGAGCAGCGTCAGGGTGGCGGGGAGCACGGGGCCAGGGCCCAGCAGGCAGCGCCCCCCCGAGAGGGCCTCTGGGGGAGACGGGGGGTCAGGCCCGTCTGCCTCCACCTGCCGGGGCTGCCTCCCAAGTTCCAGGACTAGGTAGCCGTTGGGGACGCCGCCCCGCAGCCCCAACCCCATGGCGTCCAGGTCGTCCTGCCGCTGCCGCAGGATCCAGTCCCACACGGGTCTGCTGCTCTGCTCGGCTGCCAGGCCCCCCGCGTGCGGCCCCAGGAGCTTCTGCACCTCCGGCACCGTCAGCCCCTGCCAGGCCCGGGCCGCCGTCAGGAGCCACCCCACAGACGGCTGCCAGCTCCGCAGTGCCCAGCCCCTGGGCCCCCCCCAGCCCATACACACCCCTCGGGGCTTCGGCAGTCTCCGGCCCACTGGCCCAGCCCCCCCAAGGCACCCCCAGGGCCCCCCGTACCACCACAGCCTCCGTCTGCAGCTTCCTGAAGGTGGCCACGTCCATGCTCACGTTCTGTCGGCTGAGGACGCGCAGGTCCTCCGTGGAGGCCCCGCCTGCCGTGTGCAGAGGGCCCAGGTGTGAGGCTCCACCGCACCCCCAGCCCACCCCCGACCACAGGCCTTGGCAGGCCCCTTCTCCCCAGACCCCCTTTTCCGGAGGAGTTTCTGGGCCCTGGGGGCCTACTAGAACCCACGGCCTCTCCGTCCACACCCCGGGGAAGCGGGGGGCGGGGACCCTCTGGCCGCCCAGCACCGAGTGGGGGGTCCGCGGCTCCCCGTCGTGGCCCGGCCCGGCCCTGCTCACCCAGGAAGGGCCGGATCTTCTCCAGGTATGCAGCCCCGCTCACGTTCCGGAAGGCCAGGCGGGCCTTGGGGTACAGGACGCCCAGCTGCCTCGGGCCGCACGCGTCCAGGTCCTGGGGCCCCACCGCCCTGGGGGGGCGCAAGGAGGCTGTGAGCGCGGCGCGGACCCCGCCCTGCCCGGCGCAGCCCCAGGGACTCACCAGATGACGGTGGGGGGCACGGCGCCCAGCTGTGCGGGGCCGAAGGAGCACAGGTAGGTGGGGCGGAAGCCGGCCAGGGCGTCCAGGGTGTCCCCCTGCAGCTGGCCGCCTCCCGACACGAACCGCGCAATCAGGGCGGCCACCTGCGGGAGGAGGCCGCTGAGCCGCCTGGCAGCAGGGAGAGAGAGGTGTGTCCCCCCCATGCCCCACGCGGCCTGGAGCGGGCACCTGGGCGTCTGCGTTCCTCCCCTTGCTGACGCTGAGCAGGGCGTTCACGGTGGGCGGCGACGTCACGTTCCACTTGCGGATGTCCTGGGGGCTCATGGTCAGGAAGAAGCTGCCCAGCTGCTGGACAAGGGACTCAGGGTAGCCCCACGGGTAGATCTGCAGGGCAGTGGCCGTGAGCGCCCAGCCCACACCCGGGGGCCACGAGTGCGAAGTGCACGGGAGCCCGCGCCGCCGACTACCTTGTTCAGCTTGCGCTTAAAGACGCGGAGCTGCTCGTAGGTGAAGGGGATGGCGTTCACGCGGTCCACCTGGGCGGCCACCAGGGCCCCGTCCACGCAGGCCTCCAGCTCCCACTCCTTGTAGAAGACCAGCCTCTCGTCCACCACGCGGACCTCCCGCCCCAGGGGGCAGGTCACGTCTGCAGGGGCCGGCGGGATCAGGGGTCAGGGGGCTCCTTCGCCTTCAGCCTCTCCTTCCTCCCACACCCACAGTGGGACCTCGGGCCTCGCCTGGCCCTCTCCCGGCCTCAGTTTACCCACTGGCAAAATGGGGCTCACGTCCATGTCGGGCGCGGCTGTTGGGACTGGATACAGTGACCCCGGAAGTGGGAGCCCCCACCCTCGGGCCGGGGCGAGGCGTGGGGCTCACTCTCTGCTTCCCGGCGGAACCTCGGCGGGAGGACCTCGGTCAGTTCCGGCCGCCGCTGCCAGGACGGGTTCCCGAAGGTGCGCCGCAGCCACGAGGTCACGACGCCCTGAGGACAGGGCAGGGCAGGGCTGTGGCTGAGCCCCAGTGGCCGGGCGTCCGCAGTCGGGGGGTGGGCAGTGTCTCACCTTGGGGATGCTGCCGGTGATGTCTGGGCCCAGCACGGGCAGCAGCCCCTGCAGGGCGTCCAGGGTGGAGACCGACCAATTCGCCGGGGAGCTGTCCAGACACGGGGCCCCGCTCACGACCCTGCGAGCTGCCCGGACAGGCCAGGGCCGGGCGCCGCCCCCGGGAGTGGGGGGAGGGCCCTGGCAGGGCCGCCCATGCGCACCCCGCCCGCGCACCCCGCTTACCCATACGGGGGTCCTCCGCCCTGCAGAGCTGCCCGGGCTGCCTCCTGCTGGTCCTGGTCCAGGGGTCCGGGGCAGCCGGCCAGCCGGGGCAGCAGGACTTCCGCCGAGTCGGCCACGAAGCGCCCGGGCAGGTCACAGGCCAGGCCTCCCAGGGCCTGCACGTCAGCCGCGCTCACCCGGGACCCCCGCACGGCCTGCGCGCACGGCCGCCTCAGCACCCTCTGGGGACCACCGAGGCCCTCCCCGCCGTCCCCCACCCCCGCCCAGCCCGGCCCCTACCCGGCAGGCCAGAGCCGCGGCCAGCAGCTGCTGCCGCTCCGGAGCCTTCCAAGGCAGCAGGTCCACGTTGGCCTCAGAGATGCGGGAGAGGAATCGGGCGCAGGCCCCGGGCCCCTCGAGCCCGGCCGGGCTGTGGAGGGAGAGCGCTGGGCAGGCCACGCCGACCACGCCCGCCGCCCGCCCGTCTCTGGGCCTTGGCTCCGCGCCAGGCGCGACAGGCCCCGGGGCCAGGGACCTACTTGAGGAACAGCAGCAGGTCCGGCGGGAAGGCGTCCAGGTCCCCCGGCACTCCGTGCGCAGAGAGGCTGTGCGCCAGGCAGCGCAGCTGCGGGACAGTCAGCACAGAACGTTCCGAGTCACTGCCCCAGGTCACCGGCCAGGGCCCGGGGTGGGGGTGGGCGCCCCACACCCACCACCCACCAGGCTGGGCCCCCGTCCCCACCCCTCCCTGAATTACTGCACGATTGATTCGCCCATTGGGGCCGGGACCGGGAAGGCTGGCCCGCGCTCCAGGAGGGGACCCAGCACCACAGCCGTGCCGGCCAGGGGTCTCAGACACCCCCAGGGCGCTGGATCCTGTGGGGACAGGCTCCCCGTGGTCAGCCTGGGCAGAGCTGGAGGGGTAGGGACGGCCGTGGACAGTCTGGGGCCCCAGGTGCGCCCCCCAGCCCCACACCTGATCTGCTCGGAGTGTGACGTTCTTCTGCCCCACGGCCACAGCCAGCTCCCGGACACGCTCCGTGCTCAGGCCGGACACCTCGGCACACGTGAAGCCGCCGAGGAGGCCTGGGGGGAGGCTGGGGGAGGGGCAGGACGTGCACCCAGGATCGTCCCTCCCCCACACCGCCCCCCACAGTGCCAGCGCTCCCTGCAGACCACCCCCCCCCCGTGGCCAAGTGGCCCCTGCGGGCAAGGGGGGCAGCACCCCCAGCCCTGAGCCCACCGGGGGTCCCCAGAGGTGGACCTTTGGTGAGAGGAGTTGGAGGGTGCAGCGGGCAAGGCTGGGACCTCACAGGTGTGTCAGGAAAGACAGGGTGTCACAGGGTGTCAGGGGTGTCAGGAAAGACACCCCTGTACACAGGCCCCTTGAGCTGCGCCCTCAAGGCTGTGGGGTCCCCAGACCCACCTGGCGAAGCTGGACACGTTGGCCAAGACCTGGTCCGGGAGTGCAGCCTCCTGGGGGCACCAAGAGCAGGTGTTCTCAGGCCACACCTGGGCCCAGCTACCTGCGTCTGGGACTCTGGGCATGGGTACACCTGGCCAGCCATACCCAGGCCCAGCCACACATTCCAAGCGGGCTCGTTCAGAAGCTGGGGCACGCCATTGCCACGCATTCCCGAGTTTGCGTGCGTGAGAGAACACACAGCCCCGCATCCCCCACCCGGGACCAGAAGACCCTCCCCCTTCCCCAGAGGGGCCTTACCTGTCCTGCCTCTCCGGCCTGGGCCTGCCAGGGCTGCCCCCACCCTGCGGGGGAGGGCACAAGGCTAGTGGGGGGGCCTGGGTTGAGCCCCCACACACACCTTCCTCCTGTACTCGGCTGCTGGGCGTCCACACCTACCCCATGGACACCCCGCTTTCACCCAAGCCCCCCACTTGCTGGCTCAGCCTCCATCCCCAAGGGGTCCAGCAGTGCCGAGCTCACCTCTGGGGACAGAGCCGAGGCTGGTGACCTGCGGGACTCCGGCCACCTGCACACAGTGGGGAGCAGGTGCGGGCAGGTGGAGGCTCCCTAAGGTCCCAGCCCCCCAGCTGCCCCCTGAGTCCCTTGGCTGCCTTCAGCTTCCCTGGTGGCCCACCCAGAACCCACCGAGGCTGAAGAACAGGAGCAGGAGGCTGCCATGGTGGGGAGTCCTGCGGAACCTTCCGGCGGGCTGAGCTGCCAGTGGGGCCATGGTCTGTGGAGGACAGCGGTGCCAATGCCCACGCCACGTGGGCAGCTCAGGATCTAACCCCCCACCCCCTGTCCCAGGCCAGTGGGGCCTCACAGAGCCCAGTGGAAACTTCTGGACACCCACAGCAGCACCTGTGCCTCTGGCCTGCGCTCCGGCCCCACCTGCTCCGGGAAGCAGGCCCCTCCCGCAGGCGTGGGCTGAGCTGGTGCGTCCAGGCCCGCCGGGCTGTGGGAGCCCAGGCACCGGCTGGCACCGGCCCCTCCCCCACTGGGCATGGGGGGGAGCTCAGTGTGGATGCAGGGCCACCCGGCGCAGGTTGGCCTCAGTTTCCCCACTCCTGCACCAGGGGGACTGAGCGGCTTAGGCTGGGATGTGTGAGCGGCCCCTCCCAGCCCGGCTGCCCTCTGTGCACACCCGGCCCTGCCAGGTGGACGGTGCCCTCGGGCAGGAGTGGGGGGGGACACCCCTTCCCACCCGCCTTCCCAGGGGTGATGCGGCTTCTCCAAACCCTTGTCAGGGCAGACACAGGTGGGTGGGGCCCGAGGGGATGCCTTTGTGCTCTCTGGGTGAGGCTCAGGGCCCTGTGGGCCAGTGTGGGGTAGGGAGGGGGACAGGGAGCCCCTCCCTGGACAAGAATTGTCCTCCCGGGTGGGGTGGGGCCTACAGGAGACCAAATCGCCTTCGACACTCACCGCTCCCTGGGGGCCCAAGGGGAGGCCACCGTGGCTGGGTAGAGTAGAGTCACCACCCCCAAAACCCGGGCCCAGACTTGGGCAGGTCCCACCCAGCTCGGGAATTTTGGGGTGCTCCCAGCTGTCACGCTCCAGCTGCCCCAGTTGGCCCGGCAGAGCCCTGCCTGGTCCGGCCAGCAGCAGGGGAACAGCTTGGGGGGCCACCAAGCCTCCAGGTGACGTCCACCTCCCCTGCCCAGGCCCCAGAGGAGGTGGGGACACCCTGAGAGGGGGGAGAAAACCGGGTCCCCCAACCAGAAAAGGGGCAGTGGGCTGTACTCGGCCCCTGTGGTGGGTACGGCCAGGCAAGACACATCCTCCCTGCGTCTCCCCTCAGACCACAGAAACCTGGATGCCCCCCCCAGCCCCATGAGATGCAGGGACCCCCCAACACCACAGGTGGGGGCCCTGTGGGGGCTGAGCAGGCCACCGTGGGCCTGGGGTCTGCATCCTCCACGCTCCAGCCCAGGTGGCTGGGTCTCAGCCCTGGAGGCACCTGCAGCTTCCAAAGGAGCCCAAGCACGGCCCGAGGGGGTGACGTCTCTTTCAGGGCCCCCCACCAGGCGTGGCAGGACACAGACCCGAGGCTCCCTCCTGGGCTGCCTGCGGAGTCTCCCACTCCGGCCCGCCCCGAGGTCTAGCCCTCAGGGGAATCTGAGTCAGGCCTTGTTCCTCAGCCCTGGCAGGGGAGGGTGGGTGGGGAGTGGAGCAGACTTGGGGACGGGTCTCCACAGGGGGTCACTCAGTCCACCCGGAGCACAGAGACGCCGAGAGTGCAGGGAGGGGCCCCGGTGCCCCCGTGTGCAGCGGGTAGCTGGGGAGGCCGTGTGCCCTGCCGGGCCCTGCACAGCCCACGCGTGCAAGACCCTGGCCCACGCGTGGGTTGGTGCGCCGACCCCCACACGCACCAGCCGTGGCCTGGACACAGCTCAGTCCCAGGAGACAGGGGTCCTGGGAACGCCCCCCCTGTGTCTGGAGAGCCCCCAGCTGGATTAGGGCTCCAGTGTCCGAGCAGCTGCAGCCCCGCCCTGGCGGGAAAGGCAGGGGAGCGGGACGCGGGTGTTCCCACCTTCCGTGGATGCTGCTCTCACCTGCAGACGGCCCAGCTTCCGTGTCCACCTGTGACCGGGCCCCTCACTGGAGAAACCTGTTTACACCGGCTGACGCCCCGAGGCTCTGCCTGGCCCGCTTGCGGTTCATGCCTGCCCAAGCGCCAGCAGGTGCGTCCCAGGGGAAACCCAGCCTGAGGCAGCCCCTGGTTCTCACACGGCAGGTGCAAACCCGGCACCACCACAGTAGGGAACGAGCTCAAAGATGTGAACTTACAGATCCTGGGCAGGGAGGGCCGTCCCCGGTGTGCAGGTCACGAGAGGCCGGCCGGAGAGTCAGGAGAGAAAGGGGCGTAGATCTAGAAGCAGGGTCGGGCCACTGAGTCCTGCGGCAAATGCCTGAGCTGCCCTTCGCAGAAAGCAGCAGGCAAGCGGCAGCCCCTGGGCCAGAGCAGAGCTGCTAAGCTCTCGTCTCTGCCACGGGCATGGGCGGCCGGGGTGCGGGTGCCACTCCTGGTGCAGCCAGCGGCCTCTGCGGGGTCATTCCTGCCACAGCCCCAGGCCCCCTCGGTCCCCAGGGGCCCCTCCCCAGCGTCTGGTGACTCTGACCTGCCAGGTGACCCACCAGACCTGAGCCTCCTCTGCCTCAGTTTCCTCAGCGGGGAAGTGGGGGTGCTGAAGTGGCCGGGCAGCCTCCCGGGGCTGTCAAGGGGAACAAATGAGGCTCTGCCCGGCCGCTGGGAGCGCCCGGCTGCTCATGCGGCAGGAATGTGTGGGCGGAGGCCCCGGCCACCCCGGGAGGAGGGGCTCGGCGGGCGTGGACAACTGCCCTCAGCCTCCCCTTAGCGGGCACAGGTGTCGTGGCTTCTTCTCCTTTTCTCAGGGGTTGACACCGAGCACATACAGTGGCCAGGCGGCGGCGTGGTCTCCCACCAGTCCCAGGCCGGCAGGGGAGGGACGGCGGCCCCACGGCCAGGACGTGACTCCAGGAGCGTCAGTCACACGTGGCTGCTTTCAAGTGGGCTCCCGACTCACGGCAGTGCCGTGTGGACCTTGCCGTGGCCGTGAAGTGGCCGGTCGAGGGCCGGGGGAGCGCCCAGGTCGTGGAGGCACAGCCCCTTCACGGCGGGGACAGGACTGAGCTCCCCTGGCTGGCTGGGCTCCTGGAGGTGGGCTGGGGTCGTCCTGCCGGGCACCTGTGCCAGGTGCACCTGTGCCGGCTGCAGGGTGGCAGAGCCGTTCTTCCCGACCTTGGCCACGGCCTTGGCATGTGGCCTTGAAGCCGGAGGCCCACAGCAGCTCCCCCACCGCCCCGCAGCCCCCCAGCGGTTTTGTGAGAGCTGATTGCCAGTGGGGAGCCTGTCTCGGTTTTCACACCTGCAGAGGTTGCCGATGGCTGAGCTGCGCGCACACAGCGGCTGCCTCTGCTCTTCCTCGTCTGGTCTGTGCGGCCCAACCCACCCTAACTATCACAGAACTCAGCAGGTACAGAGACCGACTCACAAAAGTCAACACAGGAATACGTGCCTTTTAAAAAAAAAAAAAAAATCCCTCCCAAGACAACTGAAAAATTCCGGATAAAACATATAAAACCAATTACCCAAGTGCTCCAGGGAGTGAGCTAGAGTCAGCAGACTCTGGGAGGCGATTCATACTTAAAGGAAGATACCAGCTTGGAGCGAATTTCCCTTCTGTGTGCTCTGCCCTGCAGGTGAGAAGTGGCTCAAATGCCAACAGGAATCCCACCGTCTTCCCGGCCACAGGAAACAAAGGCCCAGAGTAACAGGGACCGGGAAGTGAGCAGAGACCGGAAACAGGAGGGAGCCCCAGGAAGGGACCCCAAGTCTCCGATGACGCCTGCCCAAGTCCGGCGTGGCGTGTGCCAGGCAGACTGCAAGCAGCTCTGGCCAGAGACTTTATTTATCTATTTGTTTGTTTTTTTGAGTCAGAGTCTCACTCTGTTGCCCGGGCTAGAGTGCCGTGGCGTCAGCCTAGCTCACAGCAACCTCAAACTCCTGGGCTTAAGCGATCCTCCTGCCTCAGCCTCCTAAGTAGCTGGGACTACAGGCATGCGCCACCATGCCCGGCTGATTTTTTCTATATAGTTTTAGTTGGCCATCTGATTTCTTTCTATTTTTAGTAGAGACGGCGTCTCGCTCTTGTTCAAGCTGGTCTCTAACTCCTGACCTTGAGCGATCCTCCCGCCTCGGCCTCCCAGAGTCCAGAGTGCTGGGATTTACAGGTGGGAGCCGCCATGCCCGGCCTCATTTGCTTTGGTTTTTAACTGAGTGTTGAAGTTGCTCCCAAGCTGCTTAGCCCCCAGCATGGCTGTTTGCGCCCAAAGGCCGACAGTCCGACGCCAACTCGTCCTCTCGGGACACTCCATGTCAGCGGTGCCGCGACCCCACGTGACTCACCTGCCACTGCCGGCAGGGGGTGGCCTTCCTTGCTTGGCAGCAAAGGAGCCACTCGGAAGCTCCACTCGGTTGCAGCCTCATTTCCATTTTCTATTTTTGTGAAGCTATTCTGCTGTCATGAGACGTTCTATTTTAAATCTTCTAATTTTTCTGGCTGCAGCTTTCCTGCGAGGCGGGACTATTTCCCGGGACGCGCTGCCCAGCCGCGGGCCGCCGCGTGTGTATCACACACAAGGCGCCACCGCCACGTGCTTTTTTTTTTTTTTTCCCAATATTTTCAAGCCCTCCTGTCGAGGGCTGGTCATCAACAGCTCGCAGCGAGGGAGCCGCCCAGCTACTCGCGAAACCGGGACTCCGTGATGTCGTTTGATAACAAAATGGCGCGCACGCCAGGGTGCCCTTTGGAGCCACCGCCTGGGGCGACGCGTTCCCTCCTCCTTTTGCTCTGACCACGTGATGACACTCGCCTATAAAGTAAGAGGTCCGTCCCCGCGGTGCGATGTGGCTGACCGGCTGGACGGCCCTGGCAGGCCCGCTGAGCCACAGCGAGACGAGCCGTGACGATGGCCACACCTACGGCCAGTGGCCGCCGTGTGGGCGAGCCACCAGGAATGAGCGTGGCCATGCACCACCAAGACTATACCCGCGACGGCCGGTTTGCGGCATGGCGGCTCACGCCTTAATCCCCAGGCACATCTGGCGAGCGAGGCGCGAGGATCACTCAAGGTCAGGATTTGAGCCCAAGCCTGAGCAAGAGCGCAGACCGTCCCTGTCTCTACTCAAATAAAAGAAATTACTAGACACACTAAAATAATATATAAGAAAAATAGGCTGGCGGCATTGTGGCGCAGGCCGTGTAGTCCCAGCTACTTGGGAGGCTGAGGCAGGAGATCGTTGAGCCCAGGACTTTGAGGTTGCTGTGACTACGGCTGCAGGCCACGCACTAGAGCCCGGCAATAATGCAATACTCTGTTGTCAAAAAAAAAAAAAAAATGTATTGCCTTTATATTATATTATAACAAAAATATGTCGTTCGCACTAACAGCTGAGATCCGCAGAGTATCTGGAAACCGTCATTCTCCGCGCACGCACCTTCACAAGGACAACCCTGCAAGAATAGGGCTGTCGCGGATGCCCGATTCATTCTGTAAGATTCAATTAAACTCTCATGCGAAAGATTCTAGGAGGAATTTTTTTTTTCCCCCAGGACTCAACATTCATCCGTCAAAAATTAACACAAATACGACAATACTATTGTAGTGATCTAAAAAGAAGGCACGCTGCCAGATATTAAGACAGAGGCCCACAGTGGCTCACGCTGGGGACAGGCCCAGAGACA